TTATTATTATTATTATTATTATTATTATTATTATTATTATTATTATTATTATTATTATTATTATTATTATTATTATTATTATTATTATTATTATTATTATTATTATTATTATTATTATTATTATTATTATTATTATTATTATTATTATTATTATTATTATTATTATTATTATTATTATTATTATTATTATTATTATTATTATTATTATTATTATTATTATTATTATTATTATTATTATTATTATTATTATTATTATTACTGTTAATAGGAATTATTATTATTTTAATACTTGAGTTATTTCACTTAATATTTATGAATACCTCTGAAATTCAAAATCAGTAATTTTTGAATTTAATATGACCGATAGGTTAGATATAGCATGCGATAAAATTCATTGATTAATTCTACCAAAAGAAATTTCATCACGCTATCATCTATCTGATAAGTTTAGCATAGGTTATTAACCAATGAATTGGATCATCTTAATTTTATCAGTAGTACATGCTTTTGCAGTTAATGATTAATTGGTATTAATATGATAGTGTCAGATTTATTATCATTTTCTTATAGCAATAGATATATTCTAACATTGATAAGTATCAAATAATTGCTTTGTATTAATATTGATCAAAGATTGTTTGCAACATTTTGATAATTATAAAAATTTTCCAAAATTATTTCATGGTTTCAATTTTTTGCATTTGTAATTCATCAGTTTTTGCATTTTGTTACTTACTAATTTTATTGCTAATGCTATGTTTGATGATAATTTTGATGATTTTGGCTGATAATTTTATAACAAATGTAATTCAGCAGCAAATTTTATCACTGCATGATAAAGCATGCACGCAAAGCATGCAATATGCAAGCTAATAAATAATAGTAGAGAGCTTGTAAATTATGAAATATAATGACAGCAATTTTTAATAAATTCATAATTTTTTTGATGTAAATAAAATTCATTTTCAAAAATATAAGCATATGTTAGTTTTAAATTTTTTATCTTAAAAAAAAAAAAGTTAAAGAAACGACTGCTATGCTTTTTTCCTTCTTTTAAATTTTTAAAATATTTTATTTATTAAAATTTCCAAAATATTCTATGAAAATTTTCCTTTTCTTTAATATCATCTTCGAATTAAAATAATTTTTCGCCTTATACTGCTTTAAGAAATAATATTTTTTTTTTTCATTTTCTACTTATCTTTAATTTAATAAAAATATTTGTTAATGTTACAAATATAATGCTTCGTTTCTTAAGTTACAATTTTGAAATATCAAAAAGATTCTATTCTTGTCATTTGTTTTATTTTCTTTTTTTTACTGATGCCTATCGAATTCATTTCTTTTCAGGAATATTTGCAAACTGTCACCAATTGTCAACTTGCTCATTTGTGATGATTATATTAATACTGTAAGATTCTTCTCGAGAATTCCTTGTAAAAGTTTGCATTTTTCATTTATTCTTTATTCTTTAGATTCATCATTAATTAAAATCATTTTATTGAAGAGGCAAAAAAAAAAAATGTACTTATCGCTTTAGGAATAAAACCGGTTATCGTTTTATAAAAAACAATTTATTGTCAATTATTTTTTTAAATTCCCTTATGAACTTTCTTCCTTTTTTTTTAGCTAAATTTCTTTAAATAACGGCTAATAATTAATTCTTTCTGTCTATTTAATTTCCAATTTAAATTTAGTTTAAGTAAAATTAAAATTTTGAAAAAAAAAGATTTAATAGTTTGAGTGAATTGAGTAACATTCTTTTTAAGCAATTGAAAAACGTTAGCCCAAACCTGTTTGGGTGTGTGTGTGTGTGTGTGTGTGTGTGTGTGTGCATTCATATATATACATATATATGCTA